TATGTACGTCCGTCACACTCACTGGTCACTATATGTATGTACGTCCGTCACACTGCCACATGACTATATGTATGTACGTCCGTCACCGTGTGTGCTTACGTCCGTCACACCTCTGTACGGACAAACACACACACAAACACTTTGTACTTTTTCGTATGACCAACTTTTTTTCGTATGACCATAGACTTACAGTCAATGGAATAACTTTATTTCCTTTGATCGCTCTGAGCTAATTATTTTTAGAATATGCGTCATTCAATTCTCTACGAAAACTTGAACATCTTTTATGCACTGTATAAATCAAAGAAAATGGATTCAATACTGCGAAGCTTCAGTTTTCATTATTTTCTACCCTAAAGAATAGTTTTTGAATTTTAGTCCTTTATAACTTGCCATATAAGATAAGAGAAATGTCCATTTTAAAGTGCTTGAAAACCTGTATTAAGCGACCGTTTTTAGAAACTTTCATCGTTACGACTGACTGTGGGAAACTATCTTTTGTTTTATTGACTTTACCAAAAATCGTCGATCTTGAACTCTGGTTTTGGAGCACATGAGAAAAGTTTTATGAATCGATTAAAATCGAACATTTTGAAGCCGGGTTTGCTTCATTGTGAAGCAAAATAATTGTTCTATTACATCCGAACAGAAAAAGTTCTACGACTGCATTCATTTTTCTGTGCCATGGTGAGCTATTCAAAATTTCCCTCTTTTTTGGTAATTTTACTAAATCGCTGTCTGTGCCAGAAAAAGGCATCTTACAGCCAACCTATGATAGATGAAAAGAAAGACGGTACTTCTTAAGCATATATTTTGAGTTTACTTTTTATACATAATACTGTGTTCAATAGTTAACTCTCATACTTTGTATGAATAATCTAAAGACATTTTAGAGTATCCGATACAATCTTGAAGGGAAAATAATGTTCCTAGGCTGAGTTATGAATTTTTTTGGAAGAGGGTCTCAAACTTCAAAACTGACCCTCGATCGTAAAATAGCTGTATATCAGTAACTATTAAGAGCTGACACTTCAAATTCATATCATAGATAGAGGAGATGCAGTGCATTTTGGTAAAAAGGAAAAACTTTTACCTCTCTTGGATCAGGTGTTATGAACATTTTACGGAAAAGAACTGAAACACTTACACTTCACGAACCACCTACTAAAATAGGTCCAAACTTGGTGAGTGATCAGCATTCGGTAAGAGCTATGACCACACAAAATTTGAAATCCCTAGCTATCATAGTCGACCAATGGTACTCAAAGGGTTTAAGTGAAAAGAAATTTTTGTAAAAATCTGCTGCATTTAGAGGATAACTAGATAAGTGTCCTAGTAAAAGTCAGACGAAACTAAGAGGTGACATATTCATAACTTTAATTAATGAATTAATTTTACAAAACTTTACAAAAAATCCAGTTCTGGCTAACCAAATCTAGAACTTCGCTGAATTTTACTTTTGGCCATGACAAATATACGTCACCCGTTCTCTAAGGATTAAACATTGTTTACACATTCAAGGTGCGTACAAATCATCATCATTTTTTATTCCCGCTCTCAGAATGCAATCCACTGTTTATGTAACAATTTTCTTACGGGCCAGTTTGTTTTCTGTAAAATAAAATCCTGCAAACGTTGCAGGGTCATCGTAATGAGATATCCTGCGTGTTTTGGTCTGATAGGGTGAAGTTGAGAAGTAAAAGGCGCATATGTCTGAATAGAGTTTGCTGCTACAACTGATCACAGAGACGAAGAAAAAAATCACAGGGTTATCAGAGTGAATTTTCTGTGGATAGCGCTCACATTACATTATAATAGATTTTCACGCACGCGAGATTATGCCTTATTATTTCATTGTGTAGACGATGAGTGCCAGAAAGTCTTCGTCTTTATAGCTAGCCATGATGGTTATATTTTCTTCTGAAAGTGTTATTTGTCGTTTCAAAATATTCTTCTCATAACCGCCTTCTGTTAGCCATTGTGATCCTAATTTAATCCGAACTTTGTCAGCATCTGGTATTCGACAATGAAGTGTGACGGTAGAACCTCGCTTCAGATTATCTTCAAGTGGTTCGTAAATTTTACATTTTGTCTGCTGGAAGCAACTATACGTTTGCGGAAACTTGATTGAACGTTTCAAATGAGTAACATCCAGATCAAACTCGACTACTGAATGTAGCATATCAGATTCTCCAATCTTTACTGCATAGATGATAATTTTGTGGATTCCTGTTGTTTGAGGTGCAAACAAACATTGCCACAAATTCTTGTCCCAATCATACTGCAAAAGGCTTCCATTTTCAATTTTCCGGTTATTGTATTTGATTTCACCAGCTAATTGGATGTTCATAGGGGCACGTAAAACGATTTCACTGTACGAGCCATTTTGAAGCCAAACAGAAAAACGGCTATTATTGGGTGCAATTATCTGCAAATCATAATGATAAAAATAGGACGTTGTGTTTGGATATGATATAGGGTGACGAGGTGCTTGTTCAACGTCAAGATTAAACTTGAGAGCTTGAGCACACGTGTTACATTGCACAGATTTCCTTTTCACATAAATCACAATTTCGTGTAGACCGGATTCTTGCGGGGCGAACATACATCGCCATAATGATGACTGCTTATCAAAATAGACCTCGTGTCCACCAACAACTTCTACACCCTTAGAATTCTTTAAACCAGCTATTAGTATGACATCCAGTGGTGCTTGAATAAGAATTTGAACATGTGTTGTACTGTCTTTTAACCGCAGAGTATGCTGAAATTTAGGTTGAATAATTTTCAATCCAAGATCATAATATGGTTGGAATGTTTCTGGAAAGCTAATTGGCTGAGTTAAATTGAAAACTTCAAGATTAAATGTAACAGCACACGGATAACTACCAATATCATCTTGCTTTTTAGCATAAATCGATATCTCATGAAGACCATTTGATTGTGGTGCGAATAAGCATTGCCATATTTGTTTCTCTTTATCAAAAGAGACTCTGTGTCCACCAGGAACTTCTACACCCTTAGAATTCTTTAAACCAGCTATTAGTATGACATCCAGTGGTGAATGCAAAAGAATTTTGGTGTGAGTGGCACCTTTTTCCAGTTTTAGGGTGTGTTGATATGTCGATTGTATTATTCTCAATCCGAGTTCATGAAAACTCGCAGATACTTTAGGGAAACTAATTGGATTGATAATATCCATCACTTCAAGATGAAACATAAGTGCGTTTCGATAGTCACCTGGATCATTCTTCTCTTTGGCATAGATCATCATTTCATAGAATCCTTTAGATGGTGGAGCGAAATAACAGAGCCATAGTTGCTGTTCAGGATCAAATCGCACATGATTTCCTCCTTGAATTTCTTTATCACCTAGTTTCAACGTGGTAATTAATCTTACATTCATTGGTGTTCGAATTTGAACTTCGGTATATGAATCATCATTTAAGAGTTGTACAATGTTGGATTTTGGATGTACAATTTCGAGTTTGAACTGAAAATATAGTGGACAAACAGCAGGCAACTTCATATACTGTTCCATAACGATTGGAGAAGCTAAAAGCTGCCATTTTTCCTCTTCTGGTAAATGTTTATAAATAAACTCTTCTGGATGTGATAGAAAATGATAAGTATCTAGCTTTTTGTTAAATTGTTTATCATCGTTTAAAGAGCCTGCGCCCCAAGTTGATTCAATTAAATACGAATGATTATCAATTCGAACTGAATTCCATGCATGATCTGTTTCAGTTAGAACAGTTGCTTTTGGATCAAATCCATAACCTTTGGCGTAACCACCTATTTTGACACATTCTAATCCAATACCATCACATAGACGTTTAAAAATATTGGCATAACCAGCACATACACCTTTTCGTGTTCGAAACACACCTTCAGCTGTTTGATCTGCATAATTTTTTGAAAAGTAAGACACCACATCATATTCAATATTTTGAGTAACCCAATAGAATATAATCCATGCTTTATCAACAAGATTTTGGTTTGTCGAAAGATTACGGATCTGTTCAATTAATTGTTCAATTGAGTTGGGACGCCATGAATTGACAGCGGTACGATAAACAACGTTATCAATAGCAGCTTGACGTTGTTGTACTAACCTATCATTAAATGCATACGAATCTAATGGTCGAATATCAATCCGGAACGTATCGTTTTCAACTGTGATTCCTTGAGTAAGTAGGCTAGACGAAGAGCAATAACTGTTTTGACTTTTCCGACTATTTTGACTAGTACTCGGTCGATAATTGGGCTTATCGGAAATAGTGGAGTAATTAGATGTAGAGTCGTCTTTCTTATTATCTTCATGGTGACTGTGACTGCCATTTGACACTATTGGTTTAAGCTGAATGTCATCAAAACTTTGGAGTATTGCCGGTTTTGGTGTTACAACAGATTTAACATTTACCGATTCTTTGCATCCCATTAGTTGATGTTTCGTTGATGCTGTAACTTTCACAGGTAAAACAATGTGTTTTTGTTGACACAAAAACTGCGACTACTAAATATTCTTTCTCTTTGATAACAAATGTTTTTTATAATCAGAACATGATAAAAAACTAAATACGATGGTGGTTTGAGCGAAAGTCAAACGGAGAAACAATAAGAATATTCCTATAATATGAAATCTTCCGACGAAAACACAGATTGTCGCTTGCAAAGTATATTTTTTAATGGAACTTGTCGTCAGAAAGCTCAGTAAGGCAATTATACGAATTTTGTTTGAAAAGAGAAGAATGATTAGATCGTGCTTCGTAGCTCAGAGGAAGGGCATTGGTCTAGTAAACAGATGTCACTCGATTCGATTCTCAGTCGAGGCATACTTTTCTTTTAGCATGTTCGCTCATAGATTCTCATTCTCTGCTACAAAAGTATGTACGTTTCATTATCGTTTCTTTTATATAGTTTACAAACAGCCCTCCAAATAAGAAGTGCTGAGAAAACATGCTGCACAATTCTATGAAAGACATAAAAATTATCGAGTAAAAGTTTTATTGTAAAACATTTCATTGATGAAGACGTACCACGACGAACGATCTGCAATATTCTTCGAACTGACGAGGGCAGGCCACCAACTGTCCCACCGGTTTTAGGCCGAAACTCAGTGGACAATATGTAATCGAGCAGGCTGATTCCGAATATGGCCATGGGAGTTCCCCAAAGCCCTTCGAAGATCCGATCTTCTGAAAAACCAGTGTTGGATGGGTTAAAAGTATCGGTCTTGATTACTATGTAGGTATTCTATTGCATTACAATGTAATGTTATTTCAAGCGGTATTAATATATTAATACTTTAAAATTGAATTTGCCTATGTAGGTTCAATCAGACTGGCGCTTCGTGATATCCACCCTCAGTGTATTAATAGTTTTATGATTTTAGGTTATATTTTTATACACTGATAAGTTTTATATTTATATTTTGTATAATGGTTAAATATAGAAGATAAAATATTTAGTTAATCAAGCTTTAAGGGTAGGTTGTTTTATGGAAAATATTAAATTTAGATTTTTAACTAATAATGGTAAATTTGGTTTTATTATATCTGGTTGTTTTTTGGTTTGTATTTAAATAGTTTTTAGTATTTTTTATTGTTTTTTTGTATTTTGTTTTGTAAGAGTTTTCTTTATGTTTAAAATTTCATATTTTAATATTTTTAATTTGTTTATTTTAAAAAAAAATTCGACTTTTTGGTTTTACTGTTTATTAAAAACATAGTTTAATTTTTATCAGATAGTTTCTGCTCAATAAATTAAATAGCTGCAGTAATCTGACTGTACTAAGGTAGCATAATCATTAGTTTTTTAATAAGAAACTGGAATGAATGAATAAAAGTATCCTTAAAGTTTTTTAAGTCTTGTTTAAGTTTTATTATATGTCAAAATACATTTATATTAATATTAGACGATAAGACCCTAGAAATTTTAAATTATATTTTAATTGAGGGTAATTTTATTTATTTAATAATTATTATTTTATAATTACTTTAGGGTTAACAGGATAACAGAATTATTAAGATCATATTAATATTTTTGTTTATTACCTCGATGTTGGCTCATTAATGATAATGAAGTAGATTTTTTTATTATTAGTCTGTTCGACTATATAATTTTACGTGATCTGAGTTTAGACTGGTGTGAACTAGGTTAGATCTTATTTTCTTGTTTTAATGCTTATTACGAAAGAAACTGTGTTATTTTTATGGTTATGTTTTATGAATTTAGAGTTCATTTTTTGTTATTAATAATTGTTTGAATTTATTTGTCTGTTTATTATTTTTCTTATATAAGAAGTTCTTTCAGTTTAGTGGTAATTGTTTTATTAATGGTGATTTTTTTTGCTAAGATAGTTTTATTTCTAAAATATTTGTTGGCAATAATTTATTTAAGGGATATTGTTGTATTTGCATTATATATTTCTTGTTCTTTAGTTGATTTTAATTGGGGTAAAGTTAATATTTTTATAATTTTGGATATTTTTTTAATCTTTCTTTTGATGGCTATGATTTGAATTATTTGGAGGGATATTTAATTAGTTTAGGGATAGAATCTTTTTATATTTTTGTTTTTGTCGCATATATTTTTTATATTGTGGTTATAGCTACGTCTATGTATTTATATAAGTCTTCTGGTTCTTTACGTATTTAGATTTTTATTAGATAATTTGCGTTTATTAGTTTTTAAACCATTATTTCAAAATTACGATTTTGTGTGTTTGTGATTAATTTTGTTTAATTTTTGGTAATTAACTATTATTAATAAGAATTAAGTTTTATAATGTTGATTTGTCGTATCAGAGTTTTATTTTTAATGTTCTTGTTATTTTATTTTAGCTTTTTGTTTTGTTTTTTTGTTAAGAGTATTGTTTTGTTAAATAGTAATGATTTATTTTATTTTTATATTTAGTATTTTACTTGTTTTATTCTTTTTTTTTACTTGTTTAAGGGCCCCCCTCCCCTCTAAAATTTTTTTTTTCCAGAGCACTCAATCTTACTGAAATTTTTATTGAATATGTATCTGACCATTGATAGTTCTCAGTAAAAATTTGAGCTCATAATATTGAGTTTTTCGCGAGTTATTGTCACATCAAGGGTCAAAAAGTAGGTGTCCGTGTGTCAAAGATTTTGTTTTCAATTTTAATGATACGGACCTCGGAATGGTGTCAAAATGTAGAGAAGACCTGCGAAGCCGGATTTTTGAGAAAAAAAAATTAGTTTTTTTAGACAGTTTTTTCGAAAAACCTAGATTAATTTTTTAGAAAACGCGAGTTTTTTGTAAACAAATAAATTGAAAACAAAAATTCCGGCTTTGTTAGGTTGTAGCGCTGATATTTACCTTCAT